ACTGTGAGAGACGGAATCTAAAACAAAAATCACATTGTATGATTTTTAAGTAATTAATTTGCATTTTATTGCATGACATAAGTATTTGATACATCACAAAAGCAGAACTTAATATTTGGTACAGAAACCTTTGTTTGCAATTACAGAGATCATACGTTTCCTGTAGGTCTTGACCAGGTTTGCACACACTGCAGCAGGGATTTTGGGCCACTCCTCCATATAGACCTTCTCCAGATCCTTCAGGTTTCAGGGCTGTCGCTGGGCAATACGGACTTTCAGCTCCCTCCAAAGATTTTCTATTGGGTTCAGGTCTGGAGACTGGCTAGGCCACTCCAGGACCTTGAGATGCTTCTTACGGAGCCACTCCTTAGTTGCCCTGGCTGTGTGTTTCGGGTCGTTGTCATGCTGGAAGAACCAGCCACGACCCATCTTCAATGCTCTTACTGAGGGAAGGAGGTTGTTGGCCAAGATCTCGCGATACATGGCCCCATCCATCCTCCCCTCAATACGGTGCAGTTGTCCTGTCCCCTTTGCAGAAAAGCATCCCCAAAGAATGATGTTTCCACCTCCATGCTTCACGGTTGGGATGGTGTTCTTGGGGTGGTACTCATCCTTCTTCTTCCTCCAAACATGGCGAGTGGAGTTTAGACCAAAAAGCTCTATTTTTGTCTCATCAGACCACATGACCTTCTCCCATTCCTCCTCTGGATCATCCAGATGGTCATTGGAAAACTTCAGACGGGCCTGGACATGCGCTGGCTTGAGCAGGGGGACCTTGCGTGCGCTGCAGGATTTTAATCCATGACGACGTAGTGTGTTACTAATGGTTTTCTTTGAGACTGTGGTCCCAGCTCTCTTCAGGTCATTGACCAGGTCCTGCCGTGTAGTTCTGGGCTGATCCCTCACCTTCCTCATGATCATTGATGCCCCACGAGGTGAGATCTTGCATGGAGCACCAGACCGAGGGTGATTGACCGTCATCTTGAACTTCTTCCATTTTCTAATAATTGCGCCAACAGTTGTTGCCTTCTCACCAAGCTGCTTGCCTATTGTCCTGTAGCCCATCCCAGCCTTGTGCAGGTCTACAATTTTATCCCTGATGTCCTTACACAGCTCTCTGGTCTTGGCCATTGTGGAGAGGTTGGAGTCTGTTTGATTGAGTGTGTGGACAGGTGTCTTTTATACAGGTAACGAGTTCAAACAGGTGCAGTTAATACAGGAAATGAGTGGAGAACAGGAGGGCTTCTTAAAGAAAAACGAACAGGTCTGTGAGAGCCGGAATTCTTACTGGTTGGTAGGTGATCAAATACTTATGTCATGCAATAAAATGCAAATTAATTACTTAAAAATCATACAATGTGATTTTCTGGATTTTTGTTTTAGATTCCGTCTCTCACAGTTGAAGTGTACCTATGATAAAAATTACAGACCTCTACATGCTTTGTAAGTAGGAAAACCTGCAAAATCAGAAGTGTATCAAATACTTGTTCTCCCCACTGTATGGAGTCTATCACATCACCTATAGATTTAGGATCTTAATTTGATCACCTTGTTGCAGGATAACTTAAAAAAGGCTTCTGAATTTTGATTTGCCCTTGCAAAAACTGTATATTCATTATAATCCACATACAAATTCACATTTCCAGTTGCTGCAGGATTATTTTCCTGCTGTAGTGAACTGGTTCAAATTAAGATCCTACATCTGTAGGAGTTTCATTGATTTATCCATGTCATGTGTGTCCAACATTATTTGATAGATGATACGTGTGGGGTCCCAACATCTCATATATAATGGCATGGTCTTTCTCAGATTTCACTGCCATGACAGGTGAATATGGGTGTATTCCTATTGCACCTAATAGTTATGGTATCTGATGACTCAGTGGGATTTGACCATGATGCATAGATTCCGTATCTTAATTTGAGCCAGTTTCACACTGCAGGAAAATAATCCTGCAGCAACAGGAAATGTGAATTTTTATGTGCATTATAAATTATGGACATTTTTTGCAAGGGTTGATACTTTTTTTGTTAGGGCAAATCAAGTTTAAAATGTTAAAGTGGAAATTACAAAATGTAGAAGCCTTTTTAAACCTTGAATACACAAGTTTGCATTTCCTGCTGGGCAGGAAAATTCCTGCAAAAAACAGGATGATCAAATTAAGATCCTATATCAGTAAAAGCAACAGTAGCAGCCTTCCGTTAGTGATTCAGTGAGTGGACAGGACATAGACACCACGTCTGCTTAATTATTGAGGCACTGACAGTAGCTTTGCTTAAGGAGCTAATTGGTGCAGACAAACCAGAGGTCAACTGACCCGAAACGAGACGGTAAATTGGTAAATTCTACACCATGTGGTTGTGGACCATCCATCTGGAGCACATACAGGGTTGTGTTCATTAGGCACCAAATGGAAGAAAACTGACTGAAACACGGAAGAACTACTTGGACTTGTTGCGTGTCCTAATGATCATGGCCCGGATGTGCCCATCAACTGGAGACCAAAAATGTCACTTCAGATTACAAGATTGCATTTGCTGTCATTCATTGGGAGAAATGAAATTGTCCTGTCATGTTCAATTTCACTCACTTCAAACGGATTATAGTTTGAAAAATACTCCAAATACTACCCACTGGGCACACACTGGTTGAATTACGTTGAACCAACATGGAAAAGAAGTTGAATTGATGTCTGTGCCCAGTGGGTGTATTCAATTGCCTATGATGCTGCGTTTCCCATTTGCAGTGTTAGTACATTCGATTTGGGCTGTATGGTGATTGGAGTAAACAGTTTGGGTTAAAATGATTGGTTGTTCTGATGAGAAAATGCCTGACCCAAATCCATATTTCTTTGTAGATCAGATGTTTATATATAGAACAAAATGAGGAAGACAAGCAGAAAATCCAAACAAGTTTATTTACAGACAGAATATAAAGAATGATCCAGAATATAGGTTTTGTATCGCTGTTCAAGCTGTATTAATTCCATCCATTCATTTTCGGACCAATTCTTCTACCTAGTTCTTTTTTATTCTATAAAATTATGATATTTTGTGATTCTGAGTCGAACTGAAAATGTTTAATGTGCTCGTACAGATTGAATAAATGTATATTGTGCATTTTGTCTTTTACACACAATCTGTGTGACTGTGAGTTACAGGTGAAAGAAACAATCGTTCACATTTTTCAGGAGTTATGTCTTTTAAATATCATGGTCATTTGGGGCATTGCACACCATGTACAGAAGAATGGTCCTATGTTTTCAGTTCAGTCAGCAATGTTCCTCTACTCTGTCACAGTTAAACACAATACATATTAATAGAAACATACAGCATTCCAAGGCTGAGATCCACAATGCTTTCAAGGGTACAATTTTGTCACAAAGGGAAAATGACACGATGCAGTGATAATGATGATAACAAAAATCGTATTATTTCAAAACGGGGCAATAATCCTTTCCATTGTCTGTGAAAAAGTGCATCCATCACTCAATTCTCTTTTAAAATCTATTCAAGGTTTGGTGATATAAGGTTCCATCTCTCCCAGTGCACTGTGAGCTTTAGCAGAAGATGATCATTGTAAACATATTTCAGTGGTGGTTGCAGGCACACACAAAGCAATTAATAGAGTAGAATCATGCACAGCATCACATGAGTATGCAAATTGGATTATATTTTATTATAGAATATTCAGTCATTTCAACAGCAGAAGTGAACCTCTTCTTAATGAGATTACGCTGAGTCAGCAGCAGAGTTTGTTTGATACGAACGTCCGTTAGATAAGCGATGCAGGGGTGAATTGCATATCTGAGAGAGGATTTGTACAGTTATATCATAAGGCAGCGTGGTTTTAAGACATGAATGACAGCGACAAATCAGATCGCTCAACAGTGCCCAATAACTAGGGCCAGGGTGTTTTTCCCTGACTATGTGACCTGACCAGGAACACCTCCAAGCCCTAATTACAGGCTATAACATAATATAATATAATATAGGGTATAACTAGGACCCAGAGTGTTCCCAGACAGGTCCCAAGGTGAAGAAACACTCCTGGCCCTACCTATGCAGCGTGACTAGGACTGTCTGTTCTGGAGGTCAGAGATTTTACTATGGTGGTGGAGATTATAAAATATTAATCATCTCGCCTTTGACCAAAAACAGTGAGCAATTAAAACCCCACCATTTCACATCAATAATATCCAAGGATATCTTCCAGTGTTTGGCAAGTTAGTTATACAGAAGAAAGTGGACCTGTGAAAAAGGTAATCTCTGGTCAGGAGTGTTAACAGTGTTTTATATTAAATATTTACCCATGTAAAACAGGTTAATGTAGCTGGACAATGGAAAGTTGAACTGTTGGATCTTTGAAGATATATTTTGGATTCGCTACAACATCAATAGTGTTCAGGCTTTTTACACAGACATACATAAAAGCTGCCTCACCCACATAGTGTCTCAGAAAGAGAGCACATAGGTGGGTGGGAATCATAACACAGGAAGTGGCAAAGAGAAGGTACAGGAGGAGGTGAGGGACACACAGAGTGGCCCTATTTCAGTGTAAATACTTGTGCAACGTTGAGTTAAAACTTCAAATCAACACCTCTGTACAGCAGTAGTACCACCGAGCCACTAAGATTTCACAGAAATGACGTCACTAGGAAAGACCACTTTACATTAAAACAAGCAACCTACATTAACAGAATCAGAGATGCCGGCGGTCGTTGGAGTTGCTTATTCAGCAAGAGAGTAAGAAACACATTAATTAGAGAATTTATAGTGTTGGCATTAAAGCAAGCAACCTTCAATACATGGAGCTACTGTAGAGAGCCCAGATATACGGTGTGAGTTTAAAAGGTTATCTCTCGTCAACTGTAAGAAAAAACCATTGTACCTTTAAATTAAGATATGAAAAATTATGAAAAATGAGACAAAAACAGGGGTAAATGGTGACTTCCCACGATGCATTGCGGTGTGGGCGTGACTCCGGTTCACAATCACGTGCAACCTCCCGAGTGTACATGGAGGATGCCTCGCGTGTGCATGTGCAGGAAGTTAAAGATCTCGTGGGGCATGGCGTGGAACCCGGGGCGGGGCTTGACGTTGTCGTAGTAATGGTGAGTGATGAAGATGCCTGAGGGGTTCATGGGAAACGCCCAGAAGCCGTAGAGGTGGACCTCCTCGCAGAGTTCCATGGCGGCGGTGACCAGCATCAGGCCGCTGCTGAGGCGTTTGGCGCGGACACCCTGGACACCCCAGAAGCGCTGGACGTTGAGCAGGTACTGGGGATGGAAGAAGAACACGCCCCTCTGGGAGTCAAAGTCGTCTAGCATATACTTGACCCGGAAGGAGACATCAGTGTTACGCGTGTTGTAGAAGGCGGGTAGGACCACCGACGAGTTCTCATAGTTCTGAAGAACCTCGTAAAATGGCCGCCGCCACTTCTCTAGCTTCTGGAACCTGGTGGAGGAGGAGAAGAGAGGTAAGGGATTAGAGTGTTTAAAAGGAGGGACGGAAGGGGTGTGTGTGTTTGAGAGGAGCAGATGTGAGTGCTGCGGCTCTGTGCCCGAACATTATATTTTACTAAGTGCACACCCATTGTAACTGCCGCCGCTAATACATTTCAAGTCTAGATGTTCTGTCTGTGTGTGTGTGTGTGTGTCTGTGTGTCTGTGTGTGTGTGTGTGTGTGTGTGTGGCACAATGACAATGCAATGTTAATGGCAATACACTTTTTTGTTGACATAGCCTACAGTACCTCTCTGTTATAATACTTGGATTAATCGTCACCAGATCCGTTTTGGAGCCTACATCAGCTGAATACTTCTCGTTGATGGGTGGTATGTTGCATCTTTGAAGGAAGGATAATTATTCACATTATTCAATGCAGATTCTGAGAAGACCTGAGCAGACTGAAAGTAGTTCAATCCTATATCTTGCCATGTGATATCTGCAGACAAAAATAAATCAGCCCAAGTGATGCTGGGAAATAATTTTAGCACTACGGGATGAAGATGCTGTGTACCTAAACACGAAATCTGCTGAGTCAATTTCCTTCCCACATTTGCTGTTCTTGATGATTCCTCCGTTTCCAACAACAGCACATTTCTTGAACTGGGACTTGGAGTACGGCATGTCCTTTGAATGAAATGGAACCAGTGTCAGACAGAAATATAGGGTAGTTTATAACCCGGGGGGGGGGGGGGGGGGGGGGGGGGGGGGGGGTTGAGTTCCGTCACTTTAGGGTGGGAGGTATTGCGTAGGATGCATGGATGACAGGTAGTCTTATAGGATGCATGGATGACAGGTAGTCTTATAGGATGCATGGATGACAGGTAGTCTTATAGGATGCATGGATGACAGGTAGTCTTATAGGATGCATGGATGACAGGTAGTCTTATAGGATGCATGGATGACATGTAGTCTTACAGGATGCATGGATGACAGGTAGTCTTATAGGATGCATGGATGACAGGTAGTCTTATAGGATGCATGGATGACATGTAGTCTTATAGGATGCATGGATGACATGTAGTCTTATAGGATGCATGGATGACAGGTAGTCTTATAGGATGCATGGATGACAGGTAGTCTTATAGGATGCATGGATGACATGTAGTCTTATAGGATGCATGGATGACAGGTAGTCTTATAGGATGCATGGATGACAGGTAGTCTTACAGGATGCATGGATGACAGGTAGTCTTATAGGATGCATGGATGACAGGTAGTCTTACAGGATGCATGGATGACAGGTAGTCTTACAGGATGCATGGATGACAGGTAGTCTTATAGGATGCATGGATGACAGGTAGTTTTATAGGATGCATGGATGACATGTAGTCTTATAGGATGCATGGATGACAGGTAGTCTTACAGGATGCATGGATGACAGGTAGTCTTACAGGATGCATGGATGACAGGTAGTCTTATAGGATGCATGGATGACAGGTAGTCTTATAGGATGCATGGATGACAGGTAGTCTTATAGGATGCATGGATGACAGGTAGTCTTATAGGATGCATGGATGACATGTAGTCTTATAGGATGCATGGATGACATGTAGTCTTATAGGATGCATGGATGACAGGTAGTCTTATAGGATGCATGGATGACAGGTAGTCTTATAGGATGCATGGATGACATGTAGTCTTATAGGATGCATGGATGACAGGTAGTCTTATAGGATGCATGGATGACAGGTAGTCTTACAGGATGCATGGATGACAGGTAGTCTTACAGGATGCTATACTGTATATTGTTATAGTTGGAACACTCACGTCGGGGAACATCTTGAAGACCTCAGTACTGATGGGCAGGATGCCACTGGTGTCCACCTCATACCTCAGCTTGGTGCCTGCTGGGGTGTTCCTCTTGGTGGTGAACAGGAAGGAGGGTGCATTACAGCACCGCGACAGAGACATCCTATTGGAGAGGACAAAAGAAGGCAGGAGTTACTGTCAGATCCAAACAAACTGTAGTATAACAAGGGTGCTGGAAAAACTAGCAACACTGCAGTCCTGGTCCTTGAGGAACAGAACTGTGCACCCCTGCAATAGAAAGTCTCTCTATAAGTTGGGTTACAGTCACACAATAAAGATAACCTGATATATAGAGAGACATCTAAGCAATGTGATTGGTACTATAGGTCGTTATCAATAAAACTTCACAATAAGGTGCAGAGCGTTCGATTTGCCTGCTAGAGGGCAAGCTGACCCCCAGCTCCACTAAAATCATTGACAAATGTGTGTGCCGTTTTCAAATTAAATAAATGTTAATTATTTGGTTGTAATATTTATATTTTAATATACTTGAATTACCATGCAAAACAATTGCGCACATTTAGCTCTATCATCAGAGTTATACAGCAAGTAACTGCATGCTTTTCAGTGAACATGAATTGATCATGTAATTTCAGATATGTGAGGGACGGTAGCCTCACGATATCTCTCAATATTGGCTACCATTAATTGGATATTTGAGTGATATAAAATAAAAGTAAACTACAGTTGAAGTCGGAAGTTTACATACACCTTAGCCAAATACATTTAAACTCAGTTTTTCACAATTCTTGACATTTAATCCTAGTAAATATTCCCTGTCTTAAATCAGTTAGAATCACCACTTTATTTTAAGAATGTGAAATGTCAGAATAATAGTAGAGAGAATTATTCATTTCAGCTTTTATTTCTTTCATCACATTCCCAGTGGGTCAGAAGTTTACATACACTCAATTCGTATTTGGTAGCATTGCCTTTAAATTGTTTAACATGGGTCTAACGTTTCGGGTAGCCTTCCACAAGCTTCCCACAATAAATTGGGTGAATTTTGGCCCATTCCTCCTGACAGCTGGTGTAACTGAGTCAGGTTTGTAGGCCTCCTTGCTCGCACACGTTTTTTCAGTTCTGCCCACAACTTTTCTATAGGATTGAGGTCAGGGCTTTGTGATGGCCACTCCATTACCTTGACTTTGTTGTCCTTAAGCCATTTTGCCACAACTTTGGAAGTATGCTTGGGGTTGTTGTCTATTTGGAAGACCCATTTGCGACCAAGCTTTAACTTCCTGACTGATGTCTTGAGATGTTGCTTCAATATATCCACATAATTTTCCTTCCTCATGATGCCATCTATTTTGTGAAGTGCACCAGTCCCTCCTGCAGCAAAGCACCCCCACAGCATGATGCTGCCACCCCCGTGCTTCACGGTTGGGATGGTGTTCTTCGGCTTGCAAGTCCCCCCTTTTTCCTCCAAACATAATGATGGTCATTATGGCCAAACAGTTCTATTTATGTTTCATCAGACCAGAGGACATTTCTCCAAAAAGTATGATATTGGTCCCCATGTGCAGTTGCAAACCGTATTCTGGCTTTTTTATGGCGGTTTTGGAGCAGTGGTTTCATCCTTGCTGAGCGGCCTTCCAGGTTATGTCGATATAGGACTCGTTTTACTGTGGATATAGATACTTTTTTACCTGTTTCTTCCAGCATCTTCACAAGGTCCTTTGCTGTTGTTCTGGAATTGATTTGCACTTTTCACACCAAAGTACGTTCATCTCTAGTAGACAGAACGCGTCTCTTTCCTGAGCGGTATGACGGCTGCGTGGTCCCATGGTGTTTATACTTGCGTACTATTGTTTGTACAGATGAACGTGGTACCTTCAGGCGTTTGGAAATTGCTCCCAAGGATGAACCAGACTTGTGGAGGTCTACAATTTTATTTCTGAGGTCTTGGCTGATTTCTTTTGATTTTCCCATGATGTCAAGCAAAGAGGCACTGAGTTTGAAGGTAGGCCTTGAAATACAGCCACAGGTCAAATCAAATCAAATCAAATCAAATTTTATTGGTCACATGCGCCGAATACAACAGGTGCAGACATTACAGTGAAATGCTTACTTACAGCCCTTAACCAACAGTGCATTTATTTTAAAACAAACAAGTAAGAATAAAACAACAACAAAAAAGTGTTGAGAAAAAAAGAGCAGAAGTAAAATAAAGTGACAGTAGGGAGGCTATATATACAGTAAAATAAAGTGACAGTAGGGAGGCTATATATACAGGGGGGTACCGTTGCATGGTCAATGTGCGGGGGCACCGGCTAGTTGAGGTAGTTGAGGTAATATGTACATGTGGGTAGAGTTAAAGTGACTATGCATAAATACTTAACAGAGTAGCAGCAGCGTAAAAAGGATGGGGTGGGGGGGCAGTGCAAATAGTCCGGGTAGCCATGATTAGCTGTTCAGGAGTCTTATGGCTTGGGGGGTAGAAGCTGTTGAGAAGTCTTTTGGACCTAGACTTGGCACTCCGGTACCGCTTGCCGTGCGGTAGCAGAGAGAACAGTCTATGACTAGGGTGGCTGGAGTCTTTGACAATTTTGAGGGCCTTCCTCTGACACCGCCTGGTATAGAGGTCCTGGATGGCAGGGAGCTTTGCCCCAGTGATGTACTGGGCCGTACGCACTACCCTCTGTAGTGCCTTGCGGTCAGAGGCCAAGCAGTTGCCATACCAGGCGGTGATGCAACCAGTCAGGATGCTCTCGATGGTGCAGCTGTAGAATTTTTTGAGGATCTGAGGACCCATGCCAAATCTTTTTAGTCTCCTGAGGGGGAATAGGCTTTGTCGTGCCCTCTTCACGACTGTCTTGGTGTGTTTGGACCATGATAGTTCGTTGGTGATGTGGACACCAAGGAACTTGAAGCTCTCAACCTGTTCCACTTCAGCCCCGTCGATGAGAATGGGGGCGTGCTCAGTCCTCTTTTTTTTCCTGTAGTCCACAATCATCTCCTTTGTCTTGGTCACGTTGAGGGAGAGGTTGTTGTCCTGGCACCACACGGCCAGATCTCTGACCTCCTCCCTATAGGCTGTCTCATCGTTGTCGGTGATCAGGCCTACCACTGTTGTGTCGTCGGCAAACTTAATGATGATGTTGGAGTCGTGCCTGGCCATGCAGTCATGGGTGAACAGAGAGTACAGGAGGGGACTGAGCACGCACCCCTGAGGGGCCCCCGTGTTGAGGATCAGTGTGGCAGATGTGTTGTTACCTACCCTTACCACCTGGGGGCGGCCCGTCAGGAAGTCCAGGATCCAGTTGCAGAGGGAGGTGTTTAGTCCCAGGATCCTTAGCTTAGTGATGAGCTTAGAGGGCACTATGGTGTTGAATGCTGAGCTGTAGTCAATGAATAGCATTCTCACGTAGGTGTTCCTCTTGTCCAGGTGGGAAAGGGCAGTGTGGAGTGCGATAGAGATTGCATCATCTGTGGATCTGTTGGGGCGGTATGCAAATTGGAGTGGGTCTAGGGTTTCTGGGATTATGCTGTTGATGTGAGCCATGACCAGTCTTTCAAAGCACTTCATGGCTACAGACGTCAGTGCTACGGGTCGGTAGTCATTTAGGCAGGTTGTCTTAGAGTTCTTGGGCACGGGGACTATGGTGGTCTGCTTGAAACATGTTGGTATTACAGACTCAGTCAGGGACATGTTGAAAATGTCAGTGAAGACACTTGCCAGTTGGTCAGCACATGCTCGGAGTACACGTCCTGGTAATCCGTCTGGCCCTGCGGCCTTGTGAATGTTGACCTGCTTAAAAGTCTTACTCACATCGGCTACGGAGAGCGTGATCACATAGTCGTCCGGAACAGCTGGTGCTCTCGTGCATGCTTCAGTGTTGCTTGCCTCGAAGCGAGCATAGAAGTGGTTTAGCTCGTCTGGTAGGCTTGTGTCACTGGGCAGCTCGCGGCTGTGCTTCCCTTTGTAGTCTGTAATAGTTTTCAAGCCCTGCCACATCCGACGAGCGTCAGAGCCAGTGTAGTATGATTCAATCTTAGACCTGTATTGACTCTTTGCCTGTTTGATGGTTCGTCGGAGGTCATAGCGGGATTTCTTATAAGCGTCCGGGTTAGAGTCCCGTTCCTTGAAAGCGGCAGCTCTACCCTTTAGCTCAGTGCGGATGTTTCCTGTAATCCATGGCTTCTGGTTGGGGTATGTACGTACGGTCACTGTGGGGACGACATCATCGATGCACTTATTGATGAAGCCAGTGACTGATGTGGTGTACTCCTCAATGCTGTCTGAAGAATCCCGGAACATGTTCCAGTCTGTGCTAGCAAAACAGTCCTGTAGCTTAGCATCTGCGTCATCTGACCACTTTTTTATCAGCCGAATCACTGGTGCTTCCTGCTTCAGTTTTTGCTTATAAGCAGGAATCAGGAGGATAGAGTTATGGTCAGATTTGCCAAATGGAGGGCGAGGGAGAGCTTTGTATGCGTCTTTGTGTGTGGAGTAAAGGTGGTCTAGAGTTTTTTCCCCTCTGGTTGCACATTTAACATGCTGGTAGAAATGAGGTAGAACGGATTTAAGTTTCCCTGCATTAAAGTCCCCGGCCACTAGGAGCGCTGCATCTGGATGAGCGTTCTCCTGTTGATTAATGGCCTTGTACAACTCATTCAGTGCAATCTTAATGCCAGCATTGGTTTGTGGTGGTAAATAGACAGCTATGAAAAATATAGATGAAAACTCTCTTGGTAAATAGTGTGGTCTACAGCTTATCATAAGATACTCTACCTCAGGCGAGCAAAACCTAGAGACTTCCTTAGTATTTGATTTTGTGCACCAGCTGTTGTTTACAAATATACACAGACCGCCACCCTTTGCCTTACCAGAGTCTGCAGTTCTGTCCTGCCGATGTAGCGTATAGCCCGCTAGCTGAATGTTGTCATTGTTGTCGTTCAGCCACGACTCCGTGAAACATAAGATATTACAGTTTTTAATGTCCCGTTGGTAGGATAACCGTAATCTTAAATCGTCCATTTTATTCTCAAAAGATTGAACATTGGCTAATAGGATTGATGGGAGAGGCAGTTTACTCGTTCGCCGTCGGATCCTTACAAGGCACCCGGATCTGCGCCCACGATATCTCCGTCTCTTCCTCACGCGAATGACGGGGATCTGGGCCTTGTCGGGAGTCTGTAGAATATCCTTCGCGAACGCCTCGTTGAAGAAAAAGTCTTCGTCCAACGCGAGGTGAGTAATCGCTGTCCTGATATCCAGAAGCTCTCTTTGGTTATAAGAGACGATGGCAGAAACATTATGTACAAAATAAATTACAAATAACGCGGAAAAACACACATAGTAGTACAATTGGTTAGAGGGCTGTAAAACGGCAGCCATCTTCTTCCGGCGCTGTTCTATCCCTAGGTACACCTCCAATTGACTCAAATGATGTCAATTAGCCTATCAGAAGCTTCTAAAGCCATGACATAATTTTCTGGAATTTTCCAAGCTGTTTAAAGGCACAGTCAACTTAGTGTATGTAAACTTCTGACCCACTGGAATTGTGATACAGTGAATTATAAGTGAAATAATCTGTCTGTAATCAATTGTTGGAAAAATTACTTGTGTCATGCACAAAGTAGATGTCCTAACCGACTTGCCAAGACTATAGTTTGTTAACAAGAAATTTGCGGAGTGGTTGAAAAACTAGTTTTAATGACTCCAACCTAAGTGTTTGTAAAATTCCGACTCCAACTATATACCTGACAAATATGAGTGGTTTAGGTTTTTCCCATCCTTTGTGGGCTCTGAAACTTTGTACAGTTGGCTAAACATAGTGGTAATTAGACCTAATCAATGTTCCCCCCCTAAAAAATTATGCCTGTGCAGAGAAGCACGAGATTCAACTTTACTAATCTTTCTAGAGTTTTCCCCTTTAATTAACACTATCAACGTTTCACTTTACTGTGGGAATTGTGATCAAATCAACGTAATATTAGCCACTTTCAATGCAACATACTGAAACAAAATGAACTATACAAGACTTAGGATGCAAAACTAACTATGCAAAATATTTTGTTGTAGGCAGAACGAGTAGGATTCTATTGCATTGACACGCATGACTCAGCCCGTACTCTACACAGACCGGCGTAGCATAACCAATCAGAGCTGCAGTATCCCTATATGCAAATAGACCATTGCCATATATGGATCTGTGCCATTCACTTTGAACTGGACTGTGTTTACAGCATGAGCTGTCTTGAGTAGATGCGCTTGTTTTGAGATCAGAGCGAGAGCTGCATGTAGCCATGTGTGCACATTTGTTCATATCCTTTGCTAGTTAGTGAGTTATTAGCCCAGTTATAGTTAATTTGTAGTCAGCAATGGGGGAGTGATTGCTTCCTACAAGAGCACAAAACATTACATTTCTAGACATCTTTGAAAAGCAAGTCAGGTAAAGGCCTTTTTTTTCTTCTTAAAGGGGCAATGTTGAATAAGCTAAGTAGCCAATAGTCAGAGGGTAGCATAATTTGTCTGATTTTCTGTAATAATGGTATGGGAATAATAATGCATTCTATTTTGTTAAGTGGTTTCTTGCATCAAACAACACAACAACATTTTCAATCACCTCCTTGTCTGAAGGACAAGTGGATAAACAGGTTAATGTCAAGCCCTGCAAGTTTTATTCAAAAGTCTCATGGAATGTAGGCCTACATTGAACACCATACATTGGCTTCTACTGTAGGCTGAATGATAGAACAGCTATTTACATGTTAAACTGTTATGGGATGCATTTTCTCCATTGTTTTTGATGGTAGGCCACTCTGGTAGGCATACATTATGATCAAATAGCCACAGTAGCCTACTTGATCACAGTCTGAAACTGTAACTTAAAGCGCTAAGTGTTCACAGTAAATACGCGCTGGAAGTTGCACAGAATTTTCACAGCGTTCAGGTTTGCGCTCAGCAGACCTAAAATTTGCTCAGTGCCGATAAAAATGAGAGGGAACATTGGACCTAATGTATTTTTTTCTCCAACCAACGTAGGTTTACTGATCATGAAAAGCATGCAGTTACTTGCTGTGTAACTCTGATGATAGAGCTAAACGTGGAATAATGGGAACTGTGTAGTTCTGACTATGCTCTTCTAGAGGTGATGATATAAAAAAACAAATAATACACTTTTTTTAACAATCCCTTGAAAACGGCACGTAGTTGTCAATGGTTTTAGCGGCGCTGGGGGTCTCCCTGCCCCAGGAACTTTAAATAAATTCCCTGGTTTTTCAGAAATCCTGATTGGAGGATTCCGGATTTCCTGTATATTACCTCCTGATTCCGGGAGACTCCAACCTTTTTATTGAAAGCTAGTTCCTAGAATTTTGCAACCCTAGTCACACTAGATAGAAATGGATGGGGTTGATACTGAGTAGGAGTAATAGATTCTGGTGGCGTTCCAAGTCTTCTGTTTTGCAGTCACGTAATGCAGATGATCAGATATCACAATGCCTAAATAAGTGTTTTGTGAACCCCAATAATATGATATAGCAATCTTCTGAGATGCGTAGCGTGACTGCAAGAAAGACGACATGAAAAACCATCTCTGTGATGCCATGAGGGTCAATTGTGCTTACTTGAAGTTGTTGGTCTCCACCATGTTCTGCTGCCACTTGCACACCTGCAGGTTCCTCCATCTCTCAAACAGCTCCGACGTCTTCACCCTGTCAGACGGCCAGGGAAACCCCACATAAAAACGAGACAAACAAGAGAAGAGTCAAGTGATCCATGTATGTTTAAGAATAAGCTAAGAATAAGCCCTATAGGAAATGGTCCTATACCAGACACTGACTGTACAAAACATTAAGAACACCTTCCTAATATTGAGTTGCACCCCCTTTTGCTCTCAGAACAGCCTCAATTCATTGGGGAATGGACTCTACAAGGTGTCGATAGCATTCCACAGGGATACTGGCCCATGTAGACTCCAATGCTTCCCACAGTTCTGTCAAGTTGGCTGGATGTCTTTTCGGTGGTGGACCATTCTTGATACACACAGGAAACTGTTGAGCGTGAAAAACCCAGCAGCATGGCAGTTCTTGACACAAACCGGTGCAACTGGAACCTACTACTACCATGCCCATTCACCCTCTGAATGGCACACATACACAATCCATGTCTCAATTGTCTCAAGGCTTAAACATCCATCTTTAACCTGTCTCCTCCCCTTCATCTACACTGATTGAAGTGGATTTAACAAGTGACATCAATAAGGGATCATAGCTTTCACCTGGAATCACCTAGTCAGTCTATGTCATGGAAAGAGCAGGTGTTCTTAATGTTTTGTGCACTCAGTGTATGTTCAGTATATGGTCACAATGAGGGGGTGGAAACTGCACAGGTAGATAAAAGAGGGGGATGTGGCTACATGGAGCTACAGAAACCACAGAGATGACACTGCAGCATGCTACGTGGCTCTGCTCTGTAATATGAATATTAAACACGCACTGAGGTGTAACATGAGAATGACACTGGAGTCTGTGGCTCTGGGTTTAGCATTGCGCCCAGGCACTCCCTCTGACTGACGCCTTGCGTCCGCCGTCTTGAGGAGAAGATGGTGATGGCCAGAGATAGGTTTCTGAATAGCTCCCCTTGAACTGACATTCCCCCTCGATGATTGTGGCATTTGATTTGCTCAGGGAGGTAAAGCACCAGCAGGGCTTGATGTAGTGTAATGAAAGCCAGTCACTGCACTGTGACTGCTAGCAGAGCCATGGGCTGTTGTCTGTCTGTCTGTCTGTCTGTCTGTCTGTCTGTCTGTCTGTCTGTCTGTCTCACTGTCTACTTCATGGCCTGGCACACTGCCCCTCAGCAAGCTCCTCTTACAGGTGTGATAACTAGCTGGAACAGCCTTAAGAACATGTAGACCTGTGTAGAACAGCCTTAAGAACATGTAGGCCTGTGTGGAACAGCCTTAAGAACATGTAGACCTGTGTGGAACAGCCTTAAGAACATGTAGGCCTGTGTGGAACAGCCTTAAGAACACGTAGACCTGTGTGGAACAGCCTCAAGAACATGTAGGCCTGTGTGGAACAGCCTCAAGAACATGTAGGCCTGTGTGGAACAGCCTCAAGAACATGTAGGCCTGTGTGGTACAGCCTCAGGAACATGTAGGCCTGTGTGGAACAGCCTTCAGAACATGTAGACCTGTGTGGAACAGCCTTAAGAACATGTAGGCCTGTGTAGAACAGCCTTAAGAACATGTAGGCCTGTGTGGAACAGCCTTAAGAACATGTAGACCTGTGTGGAACAGCCTTAAGAACATGTAGGCCTGTGTGGAACAGCCTTAAGAACATGTAGGCCTGTGTGGAACAGCCTCAAGAACATGTAGGCCTGTGTGGAACAGCCTCAAGAACATGTAGGCCTGTGTGGAACAGCCTCAAGAACATGTAGGCCTGTGTGGTACAGCCTCAGGAACATGTAGGCCTGTGTGGAACAGCCTTAAGAACATGTAGACCTGTGTGGAACAGCCTTAAGAACATGTAGGCCTGTGTGGAACAGCCTTAAGAGCATGTAGGCCTGTGTGGAACAGCCTCAAGAACATGTAGGCCTGTGTGGAACAGCCTCAAGAACATGTAGGCCTGTGTGGAACAGCCTCAAGAACATGTAGGCCTGTGTGGTACAGCCTCAGGAACATGTAGGCCTGTGTGGAACAGCCTTAAGAACATGTAGACCTGTGTGGAACAGCCTTAAGAACATGTAGGCCTGTGTGGAACAGCCTTAAGAGCATGTAGGCCTGTGTGGAACAGCCTCAAGAACATGTAGGCCTGTGTGGAACAGCCTCAAGAACATGTAGGCCTGTGTGGAACAGCCTCAAGAACATGTAGACATGTGTGGAACAGCCTCAAGAACATGTAGGCCTGTGTGGAACAGCCTCAAGAACATGTAGGCCTGTGTGGAACAGCCTCAAGAACATGTAGGCCTGTGTGGAACAGCCTTAAGAACATGTAGGCCTGTGTGGTACAGCCTCAAGAACATGTAGGCCTGTGTGGAACAGCCTCAAGAACATGTAGGCCTGTGTGGAACAGCCTCAAGAACATGTAGGCCTGTGTGGAACAGCCTTAAGAACATGTAGGCCTGTGTGGAACAGCCTTAAGAACATGTAGACATGTGTTGAACAGCCTTAAGAACATGTAGGCCTGTGCCAGAGTCTGTTCTAGTGGTAGTGCTGCTGCTGGTTGTACATCTCCTTGGCGACAGGGATTCAAGGCCAGTCTGGACCACTTTCCCATCTATCTTACTTGTCTGTATCTACCACTCTATCTCACCACTGCTGAATCAATAAATCATTATTTACACAAAAAAATCAAAGGACAAGGGATGGTCCTGAATGTTGGAACTGAGTGCACAGGCTTTGTTTTATCCAAGATCTAGATTAGAAACTAATTTCAAAGAGAGGACACAAACCAGCAAGACACACAGGCCCTCAAGGACCATAGCTGCGCATCACTGCATTCGTAACACAGGCGATACACTCACATGGTCAGGACTTTGACATCCATAATCTCCTGTCTGAGCTCTTTGCATGCAGTGGAGTTGTAGTCATAGGATCCATCGTATGAATCCAGATACCTGGAGGGACAGTCACAGTCAACATAACGATTACACAATAATCAACAATAATAAGGAACAGGCTGGGACACAAAACACATAGCACAGTGGGGTGAGACACTTTTAACTTTATTCCATTACAATTGGCTATACTTTAAAATACATGATTAATATTCATCTTTAATGTAAAGACATTGTTGTGAGATGAGTGGCAGGTGTGATATCATTCCTATGGGTAGGGGACCCACAATATGTATCCAGGACACTTTTTTGTCACCAACTACCAAAGTTTAACATAAAGTGATACAATTTCTCTGTTTTTTTTTCAGATTTTAAACATTCATTATTGTATTTTGACTTGACATGGGAACTTTGACTTGACATGGGGAACAACAATTAACACTGACATTCTCTTAAGAAAAAAAGAGTCATTGTAAACAACAAAAGGAGTGTGAAATACATAGTGAGAAAGGGGAAGGGGGGAGGTAGAAAATCCTAGTAAATTGTGAGAAAATATGACCAAATCCTGATGGCAGGAGCACCTAGAATGCACAACCTTTATCATGGATAAGGTGTGTCTGTGTCGTATGGCATGTACAGTATGTTGGTTAGAGTGAACTGCACAACTGTACAGTATGATAAATGACTATTGTATGATGCCAATGGAGAATATGGGGAGGCTGTCTCACTGTATAGGGCAGACACAGAAAACTTACCCAGATGGCAAAACTGGTTGCAATGACGTCATTATGACGTCTCTTATGCCGTTATAGTCAAGTTGTTCACCGTTTTTTTCCATGTCTTTTGAACAACCAAGAAGGCCTCTTTATCTGGTTGTATTAAATCTGATTATCTGACCAGATAACAACCAAAATATGACATCTTTCCCATGATGGCTTGGTCTTGTCACGAAAAGGACGTGTTTACCCGGTTGTGACAAAAACCAATTTGTTGAATATGACGTCTCCTCCACCAGTTTACAACCAGAAAATTACATCTTTAAGACTTCATGTGCCAAATTTTGCTCGCTGGGTAGCCTGAGTTCATCAGTTCATCAGTCCCTGTGTGGACTAACCATAACATAGCCTCCTTTTTCTACAGATCTCTTTGCATGTAGAAATAAAACTGAGGAAGATCACATGAAAATCTGCTGGTCCTACATTTATACTTATTACCTAGCTGGTATGAAATGCACACCCACATTCATACACACATACATGCACATGCATAAACATAATTATCATGTACATACTGTACACAGTCATCATTCTCACTCAGATTCAAACCATTTGATAAGATTTTACACCTCATTGAACTATTCAAATATTTATCATAGATATCATATTATGAAAACCTTATTGGACAGATACAACGTTTTACATGCTCGAGAGGCTTGAAAACCTCTTAACAAGAGGTTTCATACAAGGAAATAAATAAACAAAGAAAGAAAGAAAGAAACATTATACAGAAAAATGGTATAAACAAAACAAAAAAATAAAAACATGTTTAATATGGTGGTAGTGATTGTGTGACATTTGAGACAAACACAATGACATCTGAAGAGAAGGAAACTAAAGGAAAGTGAAAACATGGTCGACATTTTAGCATGACAGAAAGGATTTCTGACTAACATTTTGCACCTTCTCCTCCCTTTTGAGAGCATCATCAGCCACAGAATCAAACCCAAATCTGTGCATCCCTCTCAGGCCAGGTGGAGAGCCACACGGGGGAGTCAAATCTCCCTCTGGGTGTATTTAAATAGGCTTGTAATGGAAAATGCTATTGATCCATGTATCAGCTTTGGAAAGGGCTGCCCTCTCTGGCGCCTGAGCTGGTGGAGTCTTGCCTGCCGACTGCTCAACCTCAGGGGCACCAGGAAAGGAGGAACGCTTAGGGCTCCCAATACCTGATACTTATTGAGAAGCTGCTTTCTATTCGGAGCATCTTTAAAAGTAGATACCAAATAGGTGATGTTGAGTATCCCACTACGGTCACTCCCGACCAATGGGATTCTGTCTACTGGAGGGACAGAGAGAGTGGCTGCCCAGCGGGCAAAACTGGTTGCAATGACGTTTTGTAATCGTATTTTTTAGCAACCAGCAAAATATGTCTTTATCTGGTTGTAATTTGGCTATACGACCAGATAACAAACAAAAAATGCATTTCCAATCACCAATCAGTCTTTACCTGGTTGTAATCTGGTTATATGAAGTCCTCTCTACTATACCAGAAAACAGTTTACAACCAAAAAACACAATTATGACGTCACGTATCAAACTTTGTCCGCTAGGTGAGGGGTAGCTCAGTTGAATCCAAGATGGCAGCCATCACAATGTGCAACACCAGTGGATGAATTTGTAGAGCAAATGCTATCTCAGTGAGATAGAATGAGGTGGAGAATGTTTGTTAAAAATATGACTGACATGGTAAGCATGATTGATGTGGCTGTTGAAATAAAATGAAGTGAGGTAAAACACAAAAGGACAACATGGGTGACATGACAGAAAAATGCATTTGAACAAGTTGCTGGGACAAAATCAAAATGAGGAAGGAACAATGAAGCTGGTTGTCTGCATCCAGCCGATGATGCAGTGTATTTTGGATTGGCTTGTTATCGAGTAGATACTGACATTACCTAGAGCAGCATGTCTCCATTGAAAATAACACTTATGTAAAACATCCTAATCATATTTCCTATTTAGACTGAGATCGGTAGCATCTTAGCTTCATTTGGTTTAGCTCTAATGATGAAACCCTAATAAGTATTGTAGCCTTGAAGAGAAGACTCTGATTGTCATTTTAGATCATTCCATGCCACACTGGCTTTCTGCCATCCATGAGGGAAGGCCAGATGGAAAAGTGCCCTATTAATAACCAGCGTGTTATCATGCCTAGTGACGTTAGGTCCTCAAAGCAATGAAGCCAGACACCTGCTGGGAAAAGTGTCATATTTTTGTCTTCTCTTAAGAGGAAAACAAAAGGAAAGGTAATCCAGGTAGGTAGCAGAGAGAGACGATGCAGATGTGAGAAGAGGAGATAGGGGAACAGAGAGACGTGTCCACTATGTATATGACATACACACAGAGCTGTGCAGAACGCATGAACACACAGGTTGAGGAGGAAAGGCATTTGAGAGATGGGTGCTGAATGGGACACAGAGGTACAAGGAGGAGCTGTGGTCCAACCAGCTTCTCAGGGGGATGGGCGTCAGGGTTCAAGGGTCACGGGGGGGTGGGGGTGGGGGGGGGGGGGATTGGGTGGAAGGGATCAGACAACATGCAAGAGCAAATCTGCAGTGCAACCACCACTGAAAATATATGAGAGTTTAATCCTTTCAGACCAATGAAAAAGAAAGAGGCATTCTTGGGTTTTTGTAAAAGTACTTAAAATGCCTTCAGACTGGCCTACCTTTGCGAGCGTTTTTTTTTCTTCTTAATATCGGCTAGGCAGGGTGTGACTATTACGGAGCTCTGTGAATCGGGCTGAAAATTCTGACGGAAACATCTGTCAACATGCAGACAGGTAAGTTAGAGTTAAATGTCAGTGTGAATGGGTCCTGTTTCATCATCACCCCTGCAAACATCTCAACCAGGATTCCTCAGAAATGCAAAACAAGCAGAAGCAAAAGAGTTAAGTATGTGTTTGTTGCTGACTTCGTCTCTCTACTGGTTAGTTAGTACAGCAGTTTGGTTGGTTATACTGGTTATGCATTGCGAGTGGAGGCTTCTAAGGCCCTTCTAAGGCCCTGGCCACACATGCAGGGGGCTGGGACATCAGCAGGAAATGTTATGTTCTCTCTCTCTATCTCTCTTTCTTTCTTTTTCTCACAGGGGTGTTGTACAGTCAGTCAATCACGTTGGAAATGTACCTTTTCTTCCCATTTCTGGCAGGCTTCAGAGATCCATCATCCGAGAAATTAACAGGGCCGGTCCAATTTCCTGTCTCGTCTCCTTTGAGTCGGCTAAACTGTTGCGCACTAGTAAGAAAATTAGTCAGTTTATTTGGGGTTTATTGTGCGTTAAGTACCTGAGAACTAACAGTCAGCCAAACATACACACACACACACACACACACACACAGACAGACACACACACACACACACACACACACACACACAAACACTTCTATACACAATGCCCATGTGTGCAAGCACGCATACACACACACACACACACACACTGAGAGACACACCACACCATACAGAGGGATCAGCATTTGGCTTTAGTATACCAAATCAAACCAAAAATGGTTCGAATGGTTAGAATGGTTAGAATGAACCTAGATAATGGCACCATGGTTGAAGTGTATCCCAAGTGATGACAAATCTAAAGTGTAAAAGGGACGGTGGCAGTCAGTAATACATTTGTAATAAATGAACAAAACACCCACCACATATTGATTACACAATATAAAAATGAGTTAAGGATAAAAAGAAGAGGGGTAAATAAATAAATGTACAAATGTGCCTTATAAGTGTATGTCAAATCTTACCAAAGATTAATGATAGGCTACATAGCGATTTCTTTTGTTACACAACCAAAGAGTAGTAAAAAATCTGAAAGGGACAAATAAATCCAAACTCAGATTCAGCTGAATAACAATGTGCATATGGGTCTGGCCATCTGGTGTGGTTCTTGGCGCCGATTCCTCACATCTGAGAATGGCATGCAATGCAGACGCACTAGTGTCTCAGCTATCTCTGCTGCAGAGCAGGGGGACAGAAAACACACTTGGGTTTAAAACAGTGTGTATCATTTGTTATGTTTCTTTATGACATTAAATAAAAATACTTGACTTGGTCCATTCATTGTGGTCAAACAGGTCAAACTTAGGTTAGTTGACAAAACTCAGTTGTTGTCTCACACAGGTCAAAACCCCTAATCATTCACCATTTCAGGTCTAAAACCCCTAATCATTCACCATTTCAGGTCTAAAACCCCTAATCATTCACCATTTCAGGTCTAAAACCCCTAATCATTCACCATTTCAGGTCTAAAACCCCTAATCATTCACCATTTCAGGTCTAAAACCCCTAATCATTCACCATTTCAGGTCTAAAACCCCTAATCATTCACCATTTCAGATCTAAAACCCCTAATCATTCACCATTTCAGGTCTAAAACCCCTAATCATTCACCATTTCAGGGGGTTTTGCCCAATCTGCAGCACTAGTGTCCAGCATATCTTAGTTCTGTAGGTTAGCCTGTAGGGTAATTTAGCACATTATGCTCATGCACAATCTGAAAAACCACAACGCATTCTATAAATCAGAACCAAATTATTATGGTTAAGGGGTTACATAGTGAACAGACAAACTGAGAGGATACTTAGCGGTTTACAGACAACAGCGGCATATAGGCCACCGTTGAAAGGTGCATAGCTCCTGTACCCTCCCAGGCCACGACGCTGACCCCTACTGGACCGGGCAGATTCCATCTCCTCCCGGAGTAACATTGGTGGATTGAACAGATTTTGTCAAAATTGCATGAGGCAAATCCAAATATCCCACCCAAATGTCCCAACCCGTAAGAAATACAAATGATTTCATTCAAAGACTAATTTTGTGTAAAAGGGACATGTTTGATTGAATTCATCATATGTGTAGTGTAATGGTATGACCCAACTCACTAAGAAAAAAACGACATATGAATCTAAATAAATCCATTTGAGCATTCATGCCATTGTGCATATAATCCTCTGTTTCTGGTCCATTAAGGCCTTGTGGACAGCACAGTGTAGCAATAATCGTACACATAAAGCCTCTCTGTAAGCACATTATGTGATAAAATGAACACTGCTTTGGGCCTAATGTCAATACTGCAGGCCCATTTGGCTTCTCAGAGAGCCAATTAACAGCCTCAATGACACTGCTCCCATGGCTGTTGCAGTCAGGTTGGAGTACACTAAAACAGGACATGGATTTTGGCTTCTGGATCTTCTATGTGATGCTCCTAAACTAAAGAAACCATGCAGCGGGTGCAGCCACTGCACACCTGCAGACCATCAATCATCTACAGAGCAGTAGAGGCTGGTGGGAGGAGCTATAGGAGGACGGGCTCATTGTAATGGCTGGAATGGAATACATGGAACGGTATCAAATTCCATTAATTCCATTCTGTTCCATTAATTCCATTCCAGCCATTACAATGAGCCCATCCTCCTATAGCTCCTCCCATCAGCCTCCACTGCTACAGAGGGATGTACTGTCTCTAAAAAGGCCAAACAGTTTCTTTCCCAACAAAAGAACTGCTGACTTGGTTTCTAAAAAATACTGAACCATTTTATCCTACTTAAAATCACAGATGTCACACGGCACAGTGTTGATATTGGTGAAGTCATTCTGCAGACTATTTATAGACATTACAGAGCTATTGTTCCCATCCTGTTGAGTTGATCAACATATAAATTTTGCGTCCTGTCCGTTGTGTTTAGCGTCTTATTATCAGCCTGTCAATTGTAATATTATTATATTTTGCGTACCCAAATCATTGAGGATAAAACAAAGTCTTCAAAATGAATAAGATCAAAATGGCAGCCCACGACTTAATTATGTCTACAGCTGCAAAAATATAAAATAGTCTTGGAGTAATGGAGGACTTTCCTGCTGGTTATTCTCACATAGTTCTCTCTGCAACTGCCATTTTTGCATTGAAGCTTAAGTGTCTCTAGTATTATATTTTCCAGCCCCACAGAATTTGTTCAATTGCAGAGATGGTTTACTGAGATCCTTTGGGGCATGAGAGAATCTCATGAGATTGAGACCCATGTACTCTGGGTGGGCTACGTGTCAGGAGGGGTTGGACCCGTTGCAACGACTTTAGCTTGTTGTCATGGTTTCAGCATGGGGGCGAGGGGGGGGGGGAGAGAATATCTCACAGTGACATCATTTTCAAGACACACAGTCTCACTCTGTCCATCTCTCTCGCAAATTCTCTCCATCTTTCTCACACGTTCCTTCGCTCACACTCTCTTTCTCTTGCTCTCCCACTCTCTCTTTCTCTCTCTCCCTCAAAAACACTCTCACTCACTCTCTCACTCTCTCTCTCTTTCTCCTGAGGTGTGCAGATAATGTGTAGCAAAATGGCTGCCGTTGTTGCCCACTGGCTGGGTCCGTTGTGACTGTAGCCCATTCCCCTCTGTCCCAGTCAGCGTGCTAGGAGTGGGGGGCAGGAAGGTAGATAGATAGGTAGATAGATAGAGATATTGCTGGGGCTGGATTCATGCCATCTCAGCCATAGTGTCAGCATGCCATGAATCCATAGGATGTCATCAGAGTAGTCCGCGCAGGGGACACACACAGGTTAGGGGGCTTTGGGCAGGGGTGGGGGTGGGGGAGCACAGTTAGAATGCAGTTCATGTATGTTTGTTGTAAGGCAAAGTCATAATGCACTGTCTGAGAGGGGGGGCAGATTTAGTGTGACAATCGTTCTTCTTTTCTTTAAAAAAAAAAATTGGGGGGGGGGGGGGGGGGGGTCAATTATCTAAAGATGAAAATATCTCAGCTTCTCAGTATCTGCTCGTCTCACAATGAAAAACATCCCAGAAGATGATAATGCAGAAGTCAATGCCTTCCAGTGATTAATAATAACATATTTCACTATGGGTGCTATTAGCAAAAATACATTGCATAAGAAAAGGTTGAGTCCCTATTAGAAAACATATTGCTGTTGCAGAGGTGTTACAAAACATTGTAGGAATGCATTGCTGCAACAGTGCATGGCTATGTGTGCATTGAAGCCTACAGGGTAGTAGCTAAATTACTATTGAATATGACAATAACCCCTGTGACAAAACATGTAGAAATTATGAACATTTAGTGAAAAATACTGATCAATAAACTGCATCAATAGATTGTAGTTTTTTAGTTTACTGTGATATCAGCAGATAGGCTATCAGCAGATATCCAAGCCTTATGTAAGAAGATGCATGACCAGTAAGGCTGAAACTGAAAATCAAATAAAGATTAAAAAAGGAAAGAAAGGGAGTACACGACCATACAGCTGGAGCACTGTGTATGGCATGAATGTGATGCTTCATTTTCAGAAAAATATCCAACATAAATCTCATGAGAATAGTTTCAATATGCCACTGGAAAAATGGAAGGCTGATTGCTATTGTTCTTTTCAGCCATTTAGCTTATTTCCCCCTCCATGCAGCAAATACTATAACCACTAGGATACACCCACATTTACACTGAATTACAATAATGACAGTATTACATGCCTACAATTATAACAATAACAGAGCCATTTGCTTCACAAAATTGAAAAAAATATCAGGCTGTCCCTTACATTTCAACATTATGCAATTGTTAACAATTGAGTCTTGCAACCTCATCTTCAGATGAATGGCAAATTATTTGATTTGGGCCTATAGGCTACTTGTGGAATATATTTCAGAGCGCTTACCTTTTAATGTAGTTTTTGCCATAAAGAATCTGTTGTAAAAGTGTAACCAGTCCAAATGCGCAAATGAATATAAAACAAAGCGACCTATTGCCGAGTAAATCTCTACCCGACGTAGGGTCGGAGTATCCCATTCTTCTGTGCAGCATCCGCTGGTGCCAAAAACTCCAGAATTAGCCTTCTCTCGCCGCAGCATTCAGAATCAATCACACAGGTTTATCGTGAAAGCATTCGTGAGGACATTGTCCAAATGTCTTTATGGTATTTTTACAACTAGCCTATCCTTCGCTGCGGTCACAGCATAGATGTCATTGGTATTGGTCGAGAAGCATTGCCTCCTTATAAATAGCCTCTAGAAATCATGGAAAGGCTACGATTCCGGACGGACAGTGATTTGGTTAGAAATTGTAGAATAAAAATATTCTACCTTCTTGTATTTTGCAAGGCTGATGGTACACAAAACATGAAATGTTTCGTCAAAAATGCCTGACATCTCTTTGAGATCATGCGTTACCCTCTCGACTGGGAGGTGCGCTCGATCGAGGGGCTGGACAGACAATGGCAGGCAATGCAGATATTCCAGTCTCATTTACCAGTGTTCCTTCCATACGCGGAGAGGATGGGCTAGCTCAGTTAAAAAACAAAACAAGACTGTAATTCGTAAATACGTAACACAACATGATCGAAAATAATGTAGTAGCCTAGCCTATATACGAAAGCGCTCTCTTCAAAATCAGGACAAACCAAATGGCATGAAGTGACGCACAGTTTGGTGATGCTGATAATTGCAGCTTATTTCTATTACAGCAGACTGGTCCAGAGATGCTGATGCTGATACTCTCTCTCTCTCTCTCTCTCTCTCTCTCTCTTTCTTTCTTTCTATATCTCTCCCTGTTGGTCAGCCAAAACCAAGGTCAAAGTGTCTTCTTCCAAGTACAAGGGAGAGGCCCCCCAGACTGATTTAATTGTCTGCCAATAGTGCACAGTAAATACCTGTCTTCAACCATATGTCTAAAAGGCCCTATTGGCCTTACAAAGGGAAAATCTGTCTTTTGCCAAGGAATGACATTCTAATTTCCATAAGTCAATATTTTATCAAACAAAACAAAATCCATTTCAAAAGCTTATAGAATGACCCAAGGATGAGTGGAGTATAGCCTCTTTAATGACAAAAAAAGCATCCTGTAAAAAAAAAAACATCCACACATGCATTTTTTGCTTAGACTAGGTTATGTGTTTGGTTGTAGGTTGAAGTGTTGGTGTTTGGGGCCCAAATCATTTTCACTCAACACTTCTCTCCCATGTTTTATTACTGTGTGTGAAGGCCCACTCCATACAAATGTTATACCACTAGGCCTACATGTATTTCCTCTTTCCCAATAAGATGCTTAAAGTGAATTGGCATATTCCTATATATCAATGATGAATATTCTCAGTAGGCTATTCAAGGTCTATATGGGAGCATAGGCCTACTTACAAAGGCTATAGGGAGGGAAATAAATTGAGCTAGGGTTGACCGGGGCTAAATGTAACATAGTTACAGTGAGTAATGGTAGCTAAGACACATGTGTTGTTTGTATAAAATGTTATTCATCAAACTCTAACGATATTGTTTACAAACATCATGCATGTCTCAGCTACCATTACTGACTGTAACTACGTTTCTGGGACATACCAGTTGTTTACAATTCAAACCAAAAGTGGTAGAGGTGAGATGTTACAATTGACCCAGTAGGTGGGGTTCAATGTAAGAGGCTGCAGGGTTAAATGTAACAGTCTTCAATCCTAAAAAGTATGGGTAATAAAACCATTTTTTTTATTTGAAACACATTTTTGGATGAAAAAAACCCAGGCTGTAGTGACACCACAACACTGCGATCCAGTGCCTTAGACCACTGCACCACTCGGGAGGCCCCAAACAAGTATTTTCATTTGATATTTTGATATTTTGACCAAAAATGGAGTAGTCCAAATATGTATTTATTTATATTATCATTCAAAATTATTAACTTTACTTTTTAATTTTTCTAAGTTATTATCTTGGTTGTACTGGGATCCTTTATGGGAAGAAATTACATTTTATATCACTATGTGAATGTGTCTAAAAACAATATAAAATACCATAGAATTGTAGGTGCACTGCATTACAACTAACCCCGATACAACTAACCCCAATGACTAATCTGAGTCTAATCTGAGTCTTGTGAGAAAATACAACAATAAATACTGTCATTAACTATACCAATCAAAATACCTTTTCTTACTGATAAAAATTATTTAAGTGATAATGCCCGAGAAGCCGGTGTTTGGATTATATATTGGCACGGGTGTTGTTAGGCCCGAGACGAAGTCCCGGGCTGGCAAACCGTGCCAATACATCCTCTAAACACCGGCTTCGAGGGAATTATCACTTTTATACAACGGGTTACCAACATATAATGATTGACATATTTTCATTAAAAAACATAATTTTTCTGAATTTATTCATACTATTTCATCCTTCCACAAGATATAGTCCTGACACAAATCTAGGGTTGCTACCCAAGCCGGCTGGTCGTTCGTTCTATCGGTTCGGTTGCTAGAGACGTTCAGTCTTTTTGTTCTGTATCTATGGACGCAACCATAGCTGCAACATGTGATGTGTGTTTTGTCCTATATTTTATGTATTTATTTTTAATCCCAGCCCCTGTCACCACATGAGGCCTTTTGCCTTTTGGTAGGCCATCATTGTAAATAAGAATTTGTTCTTAACTGACTTAAGGTGAAATAAAAATAAAAATAAATCCCAGTTCTTCATTCTAAATGTTCCATTGCCATACTGGCTGGCAACGTTCTTATCCCTTGCTTACTAGCTAGCCAACTACGGCTAACTTACAGTCACGTCAAAAAGTGCAGCCAGAATAACAGCAAAGTAGCTTCTTTTGCATTTGTTTAAGCTGTTTTCTAGTGACATTTATTTGGATACATCCATAACAATGAGCTAATGAGGGATGATTTCGCCTGGCATAGAAAATGTGCTCGTCAGGACACTGTTGTTCAACACAGCTAACACAATCATTTCAAACTGATGCTGGAAATACTGCAAATTAGCTGCACTTAGTTTCGTTATACCTTTTTTCAATTTACATTTCTTTGTATATATATCCATAAAAATGATGCCAGCTGATTCATGTTTTTGACTGGCTGAGAAACACTGTCTGCCTGTCTGTCTCGTCCCGACTCCCAACACGTGCATTACTATGGGACCGCTGGAGATCGAATTTGAATATTGAAACAATGTTGGAAATGTCGGAGACAGACAGCAAGGTTTATACAGATTACAAGCATGGCGCTTGTAACGCCAGGGTAGTGGGTTCGATCCCCGGAACCACCCATACATAAAAATGTATGCACACATGACTGTAAGTCGCTTTGGATAAAAGCGTCTGTTAAATGGCATATTATTATTTATTATTATCTCAGCTGTTGAAAACTAAATGTTAGTCTAAAAGAAATGTGAGATAATGTCTAGTTGCTTTTTATAGTGGAGATCAAGTTTATAAATTGCTTGGCTGGGCTGATGAGACAGTGGATTGCGCAGTCAGATGGAACAGAGTAAATAGTCATAGATTTAGCCGGTGGTCATTTGTGGAATAGACACAGGCTGGAATGCGGTTTTAACCAATCAGCATTCAGGATTAGACCCACCCGTTGTAAAAATATGATTAGATACATGGAGAATGTTCCACAGATCAATAATCAAAGAGAGGCAGCAAGAGTATTAACTTTAGGCCTCCCCCCAAAAATGTTTTCAATAAAACTAAAAATAATTGATGGATTTAAATAAAAATATGTGTATGCATGTAGAGACCCTCACCAATCATTAGCACATTGAATAACAAAACTCTAAATTTGAGTAATTGATCTGCAATTTATCAGCAATATTTATCCCCTCCCCTTTATTTTCTCGGGAGCATAACGTCACAATATACAAGTTAGAAATATACATAATTCTGTTTTTGCCATTGAAAAACTTGAATGCACAACATAAACTCAACTGGTAGTCAGTCCACGTGTCATGACTTCCTCCGAAGCTGCCTCCTCTCCTGGTTCGGGAAGGCTTCGGTGTTCGACGTCACCGGCCTTCTAGCCACTGCCGCTCCTCATCTCATCATTCCATTTGTTTTGTCTTGTTTATTACACACACCTGGTTCATATCCCCTCATCAGTACTTGTATAAGTGTTCCCTCTGCCCCCTTGTCTTTGTGTGTGATTGTTTATTGTGAGGATAGTGAAGCTCGGTTGAGCTCCTTGTATTTGTATTGCCGGGTTATTTTCCCTGTGTACCTTGTTGGTTCCAGTGCGCCTGTTTTGCGCACTGGACTGTTTTGACACATTACTGCGTAACTCTGTATTCCGGAATAAATCCAGTTATTCCGTGATTTACCCTCCTGTGCCTGACTCCTTTAAATCACCCATCACAGAATCACACACCCGCCATGGAGTCAGCAAGAGAGGAGCACATGCCTGGAGTCGTGGCACGGGTCCGGGAGCATTCGACGATGCTACCCAGCAATCTGTCGGGACCAGCTGGGCGACCGGATCCAGCCACCCGCATCTAGAGGGATCCATATATCCCGACCTAGGGATTTCGACGGGACAGCTGCTCTCTGTCAGGGATTCCTCCTCCAACTGGAGCTATACTCTGGGCTCCCGAGTGGCGCCGCGGTCTAAGGCACTGCATCTCAGTGCTTGAGGCGTCACTACAGACCCCCTGGTTCGATTCCAGGCTGTATCACAACCGGCCGTGATTGGGAGTCCCATAGGGCGCCGCACAATTGGCCCAGTGTCGTCCGGGTTTGGCCGGTGTAGGCCGTCATTGTAAATAAGAATGTGTTCTTAACTGACTTGCCTAGTTAAATAAAGGTTAAAAAAAAAAGAAATACTATTCAAGCATCAGCCCGGTGTCCGCCCTAGTCTCCTGCCTCTCTGGGAAAGACCTGGCGTGGGCCAACGTGGTCTGGAATGAAGGAGGAGCCGCGTTGGACAACTACGGGGGAGTTCGCTCACCTCTTTCGGGCTGTCTTCGATCACCCGCCCGAGGATAGAGAGGCAGGCGAGCGGCTGGTCCACCTGAGGCAGGGGACGAGGACCGCGCAGGACTTCGCCCTGGAGTTCCGGATTCTAGCAGCTGGGTCCGGGTGGAACGAGCGGGCCCTCATCGACCACTTCCGGTGCCATCTACGGGAGGACGTCCGAAGGGAGCTAGCCTGCCGGGACACCATGTTGTCCTTCACTCAACTGGTGGACATGGCCATCCGGTTGGACAACCTGCTGGTGGCCAGAGGACGTCCTGGAGGGGGCCTGCCTGTTCCACCCACCCCCAACCCGGATCACGAGCTGATGGAGCTGGGTGGAGCGGCGATCCGGGAGAGCGGAAGACGACAGCGCCAGTGTCACTCTGGTGGCACGAGAGGACATTTCACTGCACAATGTCGTCAGCGTTCTTTTGGGTCTGGAGGCGGCAGGCAGGGTACTCTCACGTCACCCCAGGTATCGAACACCCACACTCGTTCAGAGCCCTCTGCTGAGCACTGTACCCTACCCATCCACTTTCCTGATTACATTGTAGTTCCCCAGTGTAAGGCGCTGGTCGATTCAGGCTCAGCTGGGAACATTATGGACAGGTCATTTTCACATAGTCAAGGCATTACATTGGTTCCCCTATCCATTCCACTCCCCATCAGAGCACTTGACAGTCGACCATTAGGGTCCGGGTTCGTTAGGGAGGTTACAGCACCAGTCACTATGGTTACACACAAGACTGATCGAGAGCAAGTCACTTTTTTTATTATTGAGTCCTGATTTCCCTGTTGTGTTAGGTCTTCCCTGGTTAGCACTCCACAACCCCACCTTTTCATGGCCGCAGAGGGTTCTCACGGGGTGATCGCGAGAGTGTCAGGGTAGGTGTCTAGGGGTTTCCGTTGGTGCAACCACGGTGGAAAGTCCAGACAGTACCTCCACCGTGCGCATTCCCCCCGAATACCTCGACTTGGCGCACGCGTTTTCCAAAACGCAGGCGACCAAATTACCACCTCATCGGGCGGGGGATTGCGCGATAAACCTCCGGGTAGACGCTGTGCCTCCCAGGAGTAATGTGTATCCCCTGTCACAGGCTGAAACGGAGGCTATGGAGACATACGTCTCCGAGTCCCTGCGGCAGGGGTTTATACATCCCTCCACTTTGCCCTCCGCCTCAAGTTTCTTTTTTGTGAAGAAGAAAGACGGAGGTCTGCGCCCTTGCATTGATTACCGATCACTGAACAAGGGGACGATACGATTTAGTTATCATCTACCCCTCATTCCATCTGTGATCGAATCAATGCATGGGGCACGCTTCTTCACAAAATTAGATCTCCGGAGTGCGTATAACCTGGTGCATGTCCGAGAGGCGGACGAGTGGAAGACAGCATTCAGCACAACCTCAGGGCATTACGAATACCTGGTGATGCCTTACGGTTTGATGAATGCTCCATCCGTCTTCCAGTCCTTTGTGAACAAGGTGTTTCGGGACATGCTTGGTCGCGGTGTAGTGGTCTACATCGATGACATTCTGGTGTATTCCGCTACACGCGCCGAGCATGTGTCCCTGGTTCGCAAAGTGCTGGCCTGACTGCTGGAACATGACCTTTATGTCAAGGCAGAAAAGTGTCTGTTTTTCCAGCAGTCTGTCTCCTTCCTCGGATACCGCATTACCACCTCAGGTGTGGAGATGGAGGGAGATCGCTTTTCAGCCGTGTGTAATTGGCCGACTCCAACCACGGTAAAGGAGGTGCAGCGCTTTATTGGCTTTGCCAACTACTATCGGAGGTTTATCTGGGGCTTTGGCAAGGTCGCAGCTCCCATCACATCTCTGTTGAAGGGTGGGCCGTCCCGGCTCCGCTGGTCTGCTGAGGCTGACAGGGCCTTCAGTAACCTGAGGGGTCTGTTCACCTTAGCCCCGGTACTGGCCCACCCCGATCCATCACTACCGTTCGTAGTGGAGGGTGATGCGTCCGAGGTAGGGATAGGCGCGGTCCTATCTCAACACTCGGGCACGCCACCCAAGCTCCGCCCCTGTGCCTTCTTCTCCAAGAAGCTCAGCCCGGCGGAGCAGAACTACGACGTTGGTGATCGGGAGCTGTTGGCTCTTGTCCGAGTCCTGACCGTGTGGAGGCACTAGCTCGAGGGGGCGAAACACCCTTTCCTCGTCTGGACGGACCACCATAACCTGGAGTACATCCGGGCAGCGAGGAGGCTGAACCCTCACCAGGCCAAGGTGGGCCCTATTCTTCACCCGGTTTGATTTTACACTATCATACATCCTGGGTACGAAGAACGTGAAGGCAGACGCACTGTCACGGCTGTACGACACAGAGGAGAGGCCCACAGACAACACCCCCATACTCCCGGCCTCCTGCATTGAGGCGCCGGTAGTATGGGCGATGGACGTGGATATAGAGCAGGCGTTAGGCACAGAGCCATCTCCAGCTGGGCTGCAGTACGTGCCTGCTCTTGTCCGTGACCGTCTGATCTATTGGGCACACACGTCCCCTTCCTCTGGTCACCCAGGTATCGGTCGTACAGTGCGCTGCCTGACCGGAAAGTACTGGTGTTCTACCTTGGCTAAGGACGTGAGGGTGTATGTTTCCTCCTGCTCGGTGTGCGCCCAGAGTAAGGCACCTAGGCACCTCCCAGCGGGTAAGTTACAGCCTTTACCAGTTCCACAACGGCCATGTTCCCACTTGAGTATTGATTTCCTTACTGATCTTCCCCTCTCTCAAGGTAACACCACCATCCTGGTTGTTGTGGACCGCTTTTCCAAAGCCTGCCGCCTCCTTCCTCTGTCCGGTCTCCCCACGGCCCTGCAGACTGCGGAGGCCCTGTTTACACACGTCTTCCGGCACTATGGGGTACCAGAGGACATGGTGTCTGACCGGGGTCCCCAGTTCACATCCAAGGTCTGGAAGGCGTTCATGGAACGTCTGGGGGTCTTGGTCAGCCTGACCTCTGGTTTTCACCCCGAGTCTAATGGGCAGGTGGAACAGGTGAATCAGGATGTGTGTAGGTTACTGCATTCCTACTGCCAGGACAGGCCGGGGGAGTGGTCGGTGTTCTTGCCATGGGCCGAATATGCCCAGAACTCTCTCCGTCACTCCTCCACTAACCTAACGCCATTCCAATGTGTTTTAGGTTATCAACCGGTTCTGACACCATGGCTCCAGAGCCAGACCGAGGCTCCTGCGGTGGATGACTGGTTTCGGCGCTCGGAGGAGACGTGGAACGCTGCTCATGTCCACCTCCAACGCGCCGTGTGTCGTCAGAAGGCCAACGCTGACCGCCACCGCAGTGAGGCCCCGGTCTTTGTACCGGGTGATCGAGTCTTACTCTCGACCCGGAATCTGCCCCTCCGCCTGCCCTGCCAGAAGCTGAGCCTGCGGTTTGTGGGGCCGTTCAAAGTCCTAAGGAGAATAAACGAGGTTACCTATAGGTTATTACTCCCGCCAGATTATCGTATTAATCCCTCGTTCCATGTGTCTCTCCTCAGGCCGGTGGTGGCTGGTCTGCTCCAGGAGTCTGAAGTGTGGGAGGTCCCTCCACCTCCTCTGGACATCGAGGATAGTGAAGCTCGGTTGAGCTCCTTGTATTTGTATTGCCGGGTTATTTCCCCCGTGTACCTTGTTGGTTCCAGTGTGCCGGTTTTCCGCACTGGACTGTTTTGACGCATTACTGCGTAACTCTGTATTCCGGAATAAATCCTGTTATTCTGTGATTTACCCTCCTGCATCTGACTCCTTCAAATCACCCATCACACCACGTCACATGCTCATTCAGTGTGTCCATCTCAATTTGTCCAGAGTGGATTCCTGTCATTTTCCTCTCTCCTTCCGCTTTACAAATCTGGGAATAGCAATATGGCGGATACCCAGCAGGAACGCACTTAAACTGTACAGTTAAATTGGTTTCAGATGAGGGAAAGCATACAGGAGATGAAGCTGCTTTAGATCATTGTCCCTCCTAGCCACAAGCAGCTGAATGGCAACATCTTGTGGCAAAACATTATATTACACTCAAAAGCAATTGATGTTGCAAACGCATCAGTTATTATATAGCCTATGATGATCACAATTTGACATTGATTGACAGATTGAAATGAATTATTTGTCTTGTATGCTACTCCACGTGTGTAAAGTCTTTCAAAGCATATTTGTATGGTGTTCATGTATTAGGACTTCTGTATTGACGAACGTTGTGGACTCTTTATCTTGATAGGCTAAGGAAGAAATCTGTGCATTCATATCCATTTCAGAAGCAAGCTATAGAAGTGGCCCAGATTGAATACTTCACAATTATATCCGTCCCTCTTCCTCTTCCCTTCCTTGGAGTAATCACTTATCCAACATGATTGGATGTGTGGGTAACAGCAAAGAAGGAAGTATGCATTTTAAAGTATTCAAACAGGGCCCGTGCCTGACATGAATAACAAAACAAATTGATCGGTTTTGCATTGAGTAGTGTATTGAAATAAATCTTTACATCCTTAGTACTCTGTCGGCTATTCGTTAAATGAAAACGCATGTCATAATTAAGGGGGCTTAGTTTACTGTTACACCGGAACAACCTCGGTTGTGATTGAATGCAACACTAAGGCCTTTTCCGGTCTCTTTTCACCCACCCACAGGAAGAAAATGGTGAGTGGAAAAATAGTCAGAGATGTATCTTACAACATCTATTTATGTATCTGTTTATTTTACCATAGATCGTTGTGATTTACGACTTGTAATCACCGATAATGGTTTCTCATCGATATTGTTTTTGATGTAACGTTAGATGGTGTAAAAAAAACTTGAACGTTTGCTTGCCTATATGCTTGCTGGCTAACTTGCCTATTCAACTAGCTAGCTTGTTACCGGCAAAAGTAAAGTGCACTTTCAACTAAAGCACCCTTTTTGTTCTTTTTTTTCGGGTGGGAAGTGTTTTTATGTAATGCTTTATTCACATGACTTAAATAAATGTGAACATGTATAACTAGCTAGCTCAATGCCTAACTACCACTAGGCAACATGGCTAACGTCAGCTTTCTAGCAAAGGAAGCATTGCTAACTGGTTGCCTTGCTTAGAGCAAACATTGAACTAACTACCTAAGTTGCCTAGAAACGTTCCTAGTCCATCTTAATTACCTAAGCATACAGTCGGCTGTACAGCAAATGATTAATTCTCTGCAAAGAATTACCAATCTTGTCAATGATGTTTTCAATACAAATGTCTGAACATATGAATTTCAGTGATTCTCACTTGTTGACTGAGACATGATCCCGACCTCTCCATGCATGCACACTGGATGACAAACATCTCTTTGGCTAACTTATGGACCTTGTGTGTTTCAGACGAAGGGGACATCGTCCTTCGGAAAGCGGCGTAATAAGACGCACGCTCTGTGCCGTCGCTGTGGCTCCAAAGCTTACCACCTGCAGAAGTCGTCCTGCGGAAAGTGTGGGTATCCTGAGAAACGCAAGAGAAGATGTAAGTGCCATTCCTTGAACGATCATTTATGGTTTAGTTATTGTCTCAACATGTTGAATGCTGAGGGTTGTTGCGGCATCTTTTACCGCTTGCCTTATTGACTTGTTAGAATATTTGACACAGTGCAGCATGACACAATTCATGTTTACTACCCAGTGTCTTGTCAATGATGTTTTCAATACAAATGTCTGAACATATGAATTTCAGTGATTCTTACTTTGTGACTGAGACGAGACCCCAACCTCTCCATGCATGCACATTGGATGACAGATCTTTCCCTAACTTGTGTGCCCCCACGTCTGTTGACTAGGAGTGAGAAATCACAAATCAGGATCTCAAAGTTGACCAGCTAACAGATTAACAATAACTTTTTAGTCTATTCTGGAAATGAAGTTGAGGATATTTGGGAACGTTTGCTGGCAAAACCTTTGATCCTGCTTTGTGACAATTCCCTTTGCTATGCCCCTTTTGTGTGTTGACCTGTTTCTTTCTGTAGACAACTGGAGCGCTAAGGCCAAGAGGAGGAACACCACTGGGTCCGGCCGCCTGAGACACCTGCGGGTCGTCTACCGCAGATTCAGGTGAGCACATCAACAGAGTACTCATGTAAAGCCAGGGGTACACAGTCCTGCTGATTTTTGCCCCATTGCCTGGAAAACCAAGGTCGTTCAGTAGGGCACATGGCAAAATGTTTTGCATCTGAAAATGGCATTCTCATTGGACAAGTTCAATTAGGACGCTCTTCCCCTTTCAAAGCGTTTTCTCCTGATTCCTGCCTACTGAATGCGACCCTGGTGTGTGGACTCCAGCCAATCGTTAACATTAGTGCAGGGGTGTCAAACTCATTCCACGGAGGGCAGTGTGTCTGCAGGTTTTTACTTTCAATTATGACCTAGACAACCAGGTGAGGGGAGTTCCTTTACTAATTGGTGACCTTGATTGATGAATTAGTTACAAGGGTGGAGCGAAAACCTGCAGACCCTCGGCCCTAGGTGGAGAAATGAAAACCTGCAGGACTGGATCTCAAGGGCCTGAGTTAATCAAATGCTAAGGACATTCAGGTCATTCTACAATATGAGAGTTTATTTGTGGTGGTTGACACTGTTATATGTGAATCGATCTCTGCTCCTGAGTCTGGTTGTGGCCCAATAAGCCACTGCTATCCGCCTGTTTGCTCTGTTAAAACTGTTGCTTTGAAAATGCTAGCTGAAATGAGCTTGCCAATGATGTCACAAAATGTCTGAACAAATGAGATCACAGTGATATTAAGATTTTTACTGAGGCAAGCTTCACTACCCCATCAGTTGTGACCTAGGGGTCCCGGAGAAGACTTTTGAAAACCACTGACCTAGGGTCCAGATAGAACTCAATTTATTCTGCCGCATCTGTTAATAGCAATCTGTTACATAGTTGGTTCAGCACTAGCATATGCATCCAACAGACTTTCACAAATAACACCACAACCTGTAAAGACCTATAGTGACTGAATGAAAAGTTGCTAATTACCTTAGGTGAGCCGTAAGGTTACAATTCTAGTCTTCTACATAATGTTCAGATCTTATTTTCTTTCCCTATCCTTTTCAGGAATGGATTCCGGGAAGGGACCACCCCAAAGCCCAAGCGTGCTGCAGTGGCTGCCTCCAGCTCATCCTAGACACACTTTGGATTTACTTGTTTAAATAAATGTGTTGTTGATAGTTTTGAGTCTTGTCTGGGGTTTTTTCAGTATAACATGAATCATCCATGAACTCTTTCCACAGATCAGTGTGAACTGTGCAGTGCACTGGGGTTCACCAATCCCAATTGAATAAATATTTGCACTTATCCTACCTGGCTGTTCTTTTTAAAGAGTGTTTGTCAACTTGCACATTTGGTCCAATTGAAAAAGCATTATTTCCCAAGCCACTGCTTTAATCATCAGTTGACATAGCTTCTAACGGCCATAGAAATGGTATGGGTAAGACAACCTTTTTACAGTATTGTGTGGTGGGATTATAAAATATGCCATTTAGCAGACTTTTATCCAAAGTGAGTTAGGCATGCATACATTGGCAGTCCTTTGTGGGCAAATTATGTCATCAGACTTTGTCATCAAAATAACATACCAGAAGGGGGCATCGTTTACCAGGCTACCTAAATTATTGGGATCATCTGATTACCCCGAGTGTTTGGAGGACGTTAAGTTCATTGACAAAACAGACCATGGGAGGCCTTTTCACACAGATTTATTTGTCAAACGTTCGCGGTGGGGTCTGTGTAAACTATGTGATTATATTGGAGACAGGACATTTCATCTATTAATTTACTGGTATAGTATTTCAAAGTAGCAGCCATATCAGCCAGGCAAACTAATTGTTCTCACTTTATGATAGAACGTTCAGATTTTTCTGCTGTGGCTGTGGCGCTCTTTACCGGAATTGTTAGGATTTTCTTGTGATCAAAACAAAACGACTTATTTTGCTCAAATAGAGATACTGTATAATAAAATTGTGTTCTCTTTGAAAAGATGTGTATGTATTTATTTATCCATGATATAGCCTAGTAGATATAGCTTAAATTGACTAATTTGCCATAATGCTTGATTAGCCAACTTACTTGAATACTGACACATTTCCCAATAACACTATGTATTCTTGTAGGCTGACTATTAGCCTAGTTTACATTAGGTTTGCTATGTATTGCTAATTGTTCTTGTGGTAGTGTGATACATTCATCCTGTTGGTTTCAGATGTCTAAAAAGACCCATAATCCCCATAAGGTAGTGTATGTCCCGCTTGCAGACATTTGCCATCACGGGGTTTTGGCCTACCGATGGGGGCAACAGACCAGCTACGAGGCAGAATAGATGGTATGACCTCTTTCAGAAAGTATTCACACCCTTTGACCTTTTCCACATTTTGTAGAGTTACAGCCTGACTTTAAAATGGATTAAATTGAGATGTGTTGTAACTGGCCTACACACAATACCCCATAATGTCAAAGTGGAATTATGTTTTTCAAAATGTTTATAAAATTAATAAAAAATGAAAAGCTGAAATGTCTTGAGTCAATAAGATGTCAACCCCTTTGTAATGGCAAGCCTTAATAAGTTCAGGATTACAAATGGGCTTAACAAGTCGCATAATAAACTGAATGGACTCACTCTGTGTGCAATTATAGTGTTTAACATGATTTTTGAATGACTACCTCATCTCTGTACCCCAGTCGAGCAGTGAATTTCAAACACAGATTCAATCACAAAGACCAGGAAGGTTTTCAATGCCTCTCAAAGAAGGGCACCTATTGGTAGATGGGTAAAAAATAATCATGTTAAATGCATATCCCCTTGAGCATGGTGAAGTTATTAATTACACTTTGGGTGGTGTGTCAATTCAACCAGTCACTACAGAAATACAGGCGTCCTTCTTAACTCAGTTGCCGGAGAGGAAGGAAACCGCTCAGGGATTGGTGACTTTAAAACAGTTACATAGTTTAATGGCTGTGATAGAAGAAAACTGAGGATGGATCAACAACATTGTAGTTACTCCATAATACTAACCTAATTGACAGACTGAAAAGAAGGAAGCCTGTACAGAATAAAAATATCCTGTTTGCAACAAGGCACTAAAGTAATTCTGCAAAAATATTTTTTTCCGTCCTGAATTCAAAGTGTTATGTTTCGGTCAAATCCAATACAACACATTACTGAGTACCACTCTCCATATTTTCAAGCATAATGGTGGCTGCATCATGTTATGGGTATGCTTGTAATCGTTAAGGACTGGGGAGTTTTTCAGGATAAAAACGAAACGGAATGGAGCTAAGCACAGGTAAAATCCTAGAGGAAAACCTGGTTCAATCTGCTTTCCACCAGACACTGGGAGATGAATTCACCTTTCAGCAGGACAATAACATAAAACACAAGGCCACATCTACACTGAAGTTGCTTACCAAGAACACAGTGAATGTTCCTGAGTGGCCGAGTTACAGTTTTGACTGAAATCTACTTGAAAATCTATGGCAAGAACTGAAAATAGTTGTCTAGCAATGATCAACAACCAATTTGACAGAGCTTGAAGAATTTTGGAAAGAATATTGGGCAAATGTTGCACAATCCAGGTGTAGAAACCTCTTAGAGGCTTACCCAGAAAGACTCACAACTGTAATCACTGCCAAAGGTGATTCTTACATGTGTTGACTCAGGGGTATGAATACTTATGTAAATGAGATATTTCTATATTTCATTTCCCAAAGTTTCTAAAAACATGTTTTCACTTTGTCATTATTGGGTATTGTGTGTAGATGGGTGAGAGAAACACATCTATTTAATATATTTTGAATTCAGGCTGTAACACAACAAAACAATTGGTTAAGGGTTATGAATACTTTCTGAAGGCACTGTATTATGACAAGAGACAATGGCAAAACCTGTGTAACAGTTTTTTCAACTCGCCCCTACCTGGGCTTGAACCAGGGACCCTCTGCACACATCGACGACAGTCACCCTCGAAGCACCATTACCCGTCGCTCCACAAAAGCCACGGGGGAAACAACTACTTCGAGGTCTCAGAGCGAGTGACGTCACCGATTGAAACGCTACTAGCGTGCCATTTCACACTGGTTACACCTGCATAGGCCTATGACATTTGAACTTTGTGTTCATGTAGAAAACATTATTACTAGAAATACCTGTCATTAAATATCGGTCTTTACTACTAATGAACAACAACTTTATTATCATATTTGGCCATCAAATTGTCATTGCATCTTGTAACAAAGAGATTATACACAGTGTCAAAGCCCCAAGCTGTGATCTTGTCAACCAATCACATGATCAAGCAAGAAAACAGCAGAACATCTATGAATCAGTACCTATAGTACAACAGAATGCATGATATACAAAATATACAAAAGGGAGAGCCAAACTCTGGCGTGCTCCGACTCCTACCAATTCACCCGGGAGCTATGCAAGGTGTTCGACACTTCTCGGGTGGTGTCGGGGCACGAGGCCGGGAGGCGGACTACTCCGTGGAGTTCCGGACCCGGGCTCGAGAGGCAGGATGGGAGGAGGCCGCCCTGGTCGTCCTTTACGCGCAGGGGCTATCGGAGGGGATGAATGACAAACTCTCCTTCAGGGAGCTGCCTGAGCGACTGGACGGCCTCGTCGACCTCTTGGTGAGGGTAGACAATCGGTGTCGTGAGAGGGCGCACGAGAGAGGGATGACGCAAGGATGGAGAAGCAGAGAAGTCTGTGCCAGGGATGTTGCCTATACTGCGGCCAGGCAGGTTACTGCTGTGACTGGAAGTAGGAGGGCTCGCTAATATCGAGAGGGGTGCTAGCGAGTCAGAACCAAAACCCCAACCCCAGAGACTCCCGGACTTTTCTCCCCGTCAGGGTGCAGTGGGCCCGCACTGCGCATCGGGCGCATGCACTGGTGGATTCGGGGGCCGCGGGAAACCTGAAATACGCGGGGCTGGCCCAAGTGTGGAGCGTTCCGTTACTCTCCCTCTCCGAGCCGGTTCCGGTCATGGGCCTGGACGGCCGGCTGTTGAGGTCGGGCTTCATCACCCAGTGCACTGTCCCCGTGCATGTCCGGGTGGCAGGGGGGGGCTATGGGAGGATATCCAGTTTTTCATTGTAGACTCTCCGGAGTGTCCCCTCATCCTCGGGCACCCCTGGCTGGTCGCCCACAAACCCCGGATAGACTGGTCTATGGGGCGGATCATCCCAGAGGGAGGCTCCGCCTCCGTCCTGTTCCGGTCTCCACCGACCACTCATTAGCCCAAACCACCGTCCCAGACCACCTACCAGTCCTCACCTCTTCCCCAGGTCCCGCACTCCGAACCGCCTACCGCCCTAGCGGCGGCTACAGACTCCGTCACCGGCCCAGACCTGGCAGGCGTTCCCTGGGAGTATTGGGATCTGGGGGAGGTGTTTAGTAAGAGGCATGCCAAGGGCCTACCTCCTCACAGGCCATACGACTGCGCTATCGATCTCCTGCCGGGCGCCATGCCCACACGAGGGCGATTGTTTTCCTTGTCCCTGCCAGAGACTCTGGCCATGAGGGAGTATATCGACGAGGCACTCGTCGAGGGTCACATCTGTCCCTCTACATCACCCGCGGGCGCAGGCTTCTTCTTCATGGGGAAAAAGGACGGTGGGCAGCGGCCGTGCATTGATTACCGGGCGCTCAACGACATCACGGTTAAGAACCACTACCCACTACCCATGATGACGACAGCATTCGAGTCGTTGCAGGGAGCCCGGGTCTTCACCAAGCTGGACTTACGAAATGCCTACAACCTGGTGAGGATTCGGGAGGGTGACGAGTGGAAGACGGCTTTTAACACACCCAGTGGACATTACAAGTACCAAGTCATGCCATTCGGTCTAACCAACGCGCCTGCGGTGTTCCAGGCGTTGGTCAATGACGTGCTCCGGGACCTCCTCGACTACAGCGTCTTCATTTATTTGGATGACATCCTAATATTTTCAAAGGACATGAGTGAACACCAGCAGCACGTTCGGCAGGTCCTCCAACGCCTTCTCCGTCACCAGCTCTACGTCAAGGCGGAGAAGTGCGTGTTCCACACAGAGACAGTCTCCTTCCTGGGGTATATCGTCACCCAGGGGGACCCACGGATGGACCCAGCCAAGGTCAGCGCGGTACTGGATTGGCCCCAGCCCTCATCCCTCAAGCAACTACAACGGTTTTTAGGGTTCGCTAATTTTTATAGGCGATTTATTCGCAATTTTAGCTCCCTAGCTGCTCCCCTGACAGCCCTCACCCAAATGAGCGTGCGCTCCTTCGCCTGGACCCCGGAAGCTGGGAACGCATTTGATGCGCTTAAGCTGCGTTTTACATCGTACCCGTTCCTATGGCATCCTGATCTGTCCCTGCCGTTCATTGTGGAGGTGGATGCTTGAGATGTTGCGGTGGGAGCAATCCTGTCCCAGCGGTTCCTCACAGATGGTAAGACTCACCCCTGCGCGTTTTCTCCCGTCGGCTGTCCCCGGCGGAGCGGTGTGGGGAACCGTGAGCTGCTAGCGGTCAAGCTCGCCCTCGGGGAGTGGAGGCATTGGCTAGAGGGGGCCGCCCATCCATTCGTCATATGGACTGACCATAAGAACTTAGCCTACATTCAGGGGGCCAAGAGGCTCAACTCGCGCCAGGCCAGGTGGGCGTTGTTGAACACCAAGCCTGACGCGCTCTCCTGGCAGTTCGAACCCGTGGACCTGGTGGAGAGGGATGACCCCATTGTCCCCAACGCCCTGACTGCTGCACAGTTTCGTGGGGAATTGATAGGCTGGTCAGAGCAGCTCTTCGGCGGGAGCCCGATCCGGGCAGAGGTCCATCCATGTA